AGGAAAATTTGTAAATGTTATCAAAATTAAACCCTTTTCAAGTTCATACCTACTTCTGGCCCAGTCTTTACATGAAAAATAGCTGATTGGTGTCGTGGTATACATGACATAGATATTGGTAAAAGAACAAAAAACGTTATGTCTCCATATCCAGTAAACTGTGTGTATACTAGATATTATGCTTGTGCAGTTTGCTTCAATAAAAACCTGTTATTCTGTCAATATTTTTACATGCAGAAAAACATGCTGGACTTTGTGTTTGCGGTGGATGATCCAGTCACTTGGCACACCATGAATTTATTGCAGAACCGTAAACATTACTCCATCCTTAAACTACTTGGGCCTGCCATGATCAGCTCCATACAGAGTGACCACGGTGCTGCTATGTACTACAACACGCTAGTGCCCATGGACGGGAGGGTAAAAATATCAAGAAGCTCACTTTAAGTCATTTTGAGTAAATACAAACATAACTATGTTTCTTCGTTCTAGATTATCAAATATGGCGTGATAAGCACCGAGCGTCTCATTGATGATCTCATGCACTGGAAAACCATGTATGCTGCAGGACGGCTTCACAAACCGGTTAGTAATTTATTCGTCACTTAATCTTATTTAATCTTTATGTACTGTAGACATGTTAAATTATTGCCCGTTTCCGTGGACAGAAACTTTATTTAGGTAGAAGTGTTTGGGCCTCAATGAGCAGGGAAGAATTAGAGCCACAGAAAACTGAATATCATCAGAAATGAAGTTGTAATATGACAAAATTCCCATTATTTTTACATGATTTAAGTCATACTGTTGCGACAATTAGGAAGAAAATTGTAATTTTACACATTCATGTTGTTGCTAGTACGAGACTTTATAGCCCAGGTGTCAAAGTCAAGGCTCGGGGGCCAGATCTGGCCCGTCACATCATTTTATGTGGCCCGCGAAAGCAAATCAAGCATCTTAACTTCCATGATGCTTGCTAAAGTCTGAACCAAAATTTCAAATTGTCACATCTAATCCATAACAACAATATTTGAACAAGCCATTATTCTTGACTTCTGATTTCAAAATAAGTTATCCATCAATTTGTTGTTCGCTGTGTATGTAATATGTGGAGGTGGTTAAACATTGATGTGGTTATACAAAATTCACAGTCATAACGGCTTTAAAAAAAATGTGCGTGAAAGTCAATACAAGAAAAAAGGTGTAATGTTTTGAGAATAAAGTTTGACTATTACGACACTAGACAAAACATTTTTTTTTCCTCGCTAGTTGTAGGATGATTAAAATAAATGATACTTTTATGAGAGAAGAAGCAGTGTAATACAATTTTTTTAAAATAGTATTACCGTACAAGAAAGCAAAATTTCAGTACACATTATAAAAGAGACTTAAGTCGTGCTCTTACATTTAATTATGAAGCATGAAATTTTAAATGAAAACATTGAAATTAATTATACGCAATTAAAGAAAAAGTCAATATTACGGGAATAAAGCCATAACAGTTAACACTATACGCAAATAATGTAATTTTTGAGAGATAAGGTCCAAAAATCACAGATTGTAATGTAACAATAAGAAGTTATGAATTATACGGAAATGTAATTTTACGAGACCTTACTCTGAACTTTGAAAAAAACATTGTGGCTTTTTTTTAAGAACCTTAATCTTGAAACATAGCAATTTCCCCTTAGATATGACTAATTTTTTTTCTCTTAATATTAGAATGTACTCTCATAACAGTGAGACTTGTAATATGTAAACTTTTTTTTCTCATGACCTTTGTAAAGATTGTAATTTTTTGGGGCAGTATGACACCCAGAAGAAACTTTTTCATTGTCATTTAACTTTTTATTTAATTCTCTGTCGCCTTCATGCTGTCTGTATTTTTCATCTTGCATTTTCCCCCAAATAAATGCACTGCTTGTCGTGTGTGCACGCATGCGTTTGCGCTCCTCTGTAGGTGAAGTTGCTGGGGCAGGCTGACAATGGGAAGCTGCGTGCCGCTCTCGTGGCCAACCTCAAGAGCGCTGTAACGGCTTCATTCCTTATGCTACCTGAGAGTTTTAGTGAGGAAGAGCTTTTCCTGCAAATAGCTGGCCTGTCTTATGCCGGTATGTTCCCAGTAATTCTCTCTATGTAGTCCAGAGTACTAGATTACACTAAAGATACTAAATTGGACAGTCGCAAACAAACAATGTGAAAAGTCAGCGTCTCACACCTGCCCGCCTGCCAATTGACACTTGCGCACATACCAACTCGCTGCAATGCAATAACTGACGCCTGCCGTCCTTATCGGGAAAGAGCTTTTTGAGGCTGCTCTGTTTTAATTTTATTGAACCAAAAACAACATGGTATAATTGTCAAGGAAACAGCGGAGTGCCATGACCGAGGAAACGGTTGAGAAATATAACCAGATATACTGTAATTGAGAGGCTGTGGGCAATGAACACTCATGAGCACTCATGCATTTCGGCTGCAGAGGCTCTCCATGCTTCACTTTTCAGCCAAAAATACGTGTAAAGTTTTAAATGTGCGACCCGTCATGGCAAATATTTGGTGTGTTCCCCTCAAGGTGATTTCAGGATGGTGATCGGAGAGGATAAATCCAAGGTGGCCAACATTGTGAATGACAATATTGAGCACTTCCGGATTCTCTACAGCAACATCTTACGGGACTGCCCACAGGTGGTCTACAAGCCCCAACAAGGAAAATTGGAGGTATTATGCTCAGATAAATGCTATTTGCTGCAGTGTCTGTTTGGTAATTGTGTATGTGACCATTAATGAATCATGCATTTCATATTGTACTCAGCTGACACCTTGTGTTGCAGTAAGATCCACTTCCCTTTCTATAATTAAAAAAAAAAAAAACATCAGAGTTGCTCAAATTTGGCAAAATGGCCGCCCCCTGAGATGGCTACAAAAGGGTGTGCTTTGCTACTCCACAAGCGCAATGTTAATCAGAATGCCTTGTTTAGACTAGTGGAGGTGCGTCAAACATATTATTGTAAATATTTTTTTTTTTGGTTAGCTTCCCCTTTAAATTGTCAAGTTTATAGCATGATCTGAATTATGGCTTAAGTTCAACTTATGGCTCATATTTTACTGAGCCAACACTTTCTTTTGTTGCAGTAAGTGCAGATTCTTGTTATATGGTTATCTTCCCCCCCCCCCCCCCCCACACACACACACACAAACGGCACTAGGAAGACAACCTCTTTCAAATAAGTTGTGGTTCACATAATGTCATTGAACTTCATGCAGGTTGACAAAAGCCCAGAGGGCCAGTTCATCCAGCTGATGGCGTTGCCTCGCACCCTGCAGCAGAGGATCACCAAGCTGGTGGACCCTCCCGGGAAGAACAGGGATGTGGAGGAGATCCTGCTGCAGATGGCTCAGGACCCCGACTGTGGAACAGTTGTGCAGCAGGGTAACAAATGCTACTTCTAGGGGACATACGGTAATTGGGGAAACAATGACTTTTTATTGGCATGTATAGAAATAATTGGGTCTGTAGCGTGCCTGCCCACCTATCGCGACATTGAGTGAGAGGTGCTGCTGAAAATGAGTCAAGTTCAGCGAAGCAAAAATTCTGTCCGATGCAAACACAGAGAGTATGGTTCCGTGAAAACTAGGGCGGAGCTATATATTGTGATGAAATCTTTTCTGCTGGCCACATAAATTATGTAAAAAGTAAAAGAAAAAACGAATGAGCAACAAAACTGGCAATTTTTTTTAGCTATTATTTGAGACTTCTGAAGACTCTGAGACACGGGAGAAGCTCAGCCCTCTGTGTCCAGACTGCAAAAGAATGAGGCTGCATGAAGGCCCTACTGGCAAATTTAACTATGTACTATTGTTTTGTATGTTCATCAGGCATCTCTTCTATTGTGAAATCATCCAGTATCACACAAAGTATCAAAGGCATCGCAACAGCAGGTAAGCATCTCTTTCTTGTGTATTGCTCGACATGTGCAGATTTCTTTTTTAATAATCATGCTTAATGTAGAGTACAATTCTATTTGGTCTGTCACTTGCTCACAGGCATGTGGAAGACAGTGTCCTACAGCTCGAAGAAACTACGAAAGATGTGGAAGGGCTGGAGGAGGAAACCATCTGTTTCGCCGACCTCCTGAACCACGTTCCTTGGAATCTGTCAAACTTCTTCTTGGTTTAAAACATGAACTGAGACTAGAACATTCAATTACAGTCTTCTCTCATTAACTGTACGAGTAGGAAACATATTGAGACTCTAAGGTGAGAGACACAATAATCAGGAAATAAACTTGCCGTGAAACCAGTCCTCAAATAGTGGGGGCATGCCCACTTGGGGTGTGCGTGACCCCAGGGAACATGCCCCCCCCCCCTTCACCGTATTAGAATAAAGTATAATTGCACATCCACTGCAATAAGTGACAGTGATGCTCTCACTTTTTTTTCCAGGCAAATTGATGGTCTTCAAATATTTTTTTAATACTAAAAAACAATATTAACATACAGTAGGGTTTTTTTGGTAGTAAATTGATCTGTTTATTTTTCTTTTATGTTTTCCTCGATGTCATAAAGGATATAACGTTATGCAGAGGTAGACATAGAACAATTTGATAGATTATACTATTTATAGTTGCGGGGGAGTCGGGAGGAGCGTGTAACAGAAAATAATTGAAACCCACTGCCTTAAACCGATTTCTCCACTGACACATTTATGTCTAAATATAAAAAAAAAAAAACCTCAGAGGAGATGCCAAATCACACAAACGATCACAATGTCAAATAATAAAACATTTGTTCGATCATTGCGTCATATTTTTTCAATAAAAACAGGGCCCTTAATTATAAATACCCCAGGTTTAGAATTCTGGATGAAGCCATCTTGTTGTATTTTCCCACTATTAAATATTCCTAGTCCTATTACATCTTTTCATTTTCAGCTATCATCCGGTCTATGGTCACCTCAAACAAAAACCATATTGCACTTTATTTTCAAATTTGCGAGCAAAAGCAAGCTACAGTATTTGTTCCAGAAGTCAATATTTAATGTGACATGCCATACCTTTGCAGGAACGATCCCTTTGACTGTAAATGTTTGGGTAAAAGGCTAAACATGATATGCTCTGCATTCTATACACTACTGAGAAATCGAAATCAGTATCCAGTTTGGTAGTCTCGTTTAAAAATTACAGTAACAGCGGTGACGCCTTCAGAGGATGTGACGTAAAAATCTGCATAATTTATGATGATATCATGCCCTCTCCGGCTCCGCCAATCAGCATGCGTTACTTCCACCACCTGCTAGCAACTGAATTCCATCATTCCAGGCATTCCAGCCTCCTCCTTCCTCCTCCTCCTCCTTTTTTTCTCGTTTACAACCAAGTTGGTCCCGACAGCTCAGCTACTAGTATTGTCTTCCCTCCCACGGAGCCGTTTAGCTGCGGATTAAGCTTCGTATCTCTGTGGAATATACACTTTTCCTCCCTCACGGTTTGTTGCCCTCTGCTTGGACGTTGTACTACTGGAAGATACCAAAGTGGCGCATAAAGGAGGTATGTGTCCCTCAACGTAAACTTGGCACATTGTTCCATGGGGCTTTAGATTCAAACATTTTAAAATGTTGGAAAAATGCAATCATATTTTGATGGAGAAATAATGATGGAGGATACGGCCATAAATAAACGGCCAATGACGTTGGAATTAAATTTAATTTTTCGATTGGAAATGGTAGTGGCCAAACGTTGCCAAATAGTGGACATAGCAAGTGTTGTACTTTATTTGTCATCAAATGACAAAGATCCCGTCATTGGCAATAAACGTCAGAAAATCGTGGGATAGGAATGCAAGTCGGCTGCGTAGAAATGCGGACGCACTTGTTGTTTTGCCGCTTTCATTATCAGCTTCCGAGCGTGACAAAAGTTAAGTAAACTCATACTTGTAATTTCTTTTTTCATTGTGAGAAATAATGAGGATCAAGGCATTTGAAGAATGCGGTCAGAATGGTCTTATAATACTTTTTTTTCATCCACGAATACCTTGCATAGCTTTGCAGGACAGACGGCTCCACATTGAAGGACAAAATGCTTGAATAAGATATACTGTACTCGGAACCCCCCCCCCCCTGAAAACCAGGTCGGACCTATTAAATTCGACCTGAATTCAATAAACGGGTGGTGAGATCCAAGGCAAGCGGTGCGTTATTACAAAGATGATGTTAACATCTGGATTGACAGTCTGAGTACAATACATGTACATTTATCTATGAATTCATTATTTTCGCTGAAGTTTGGTAAAACTCTCAGAGGTGTTCCTAATATTTTGTTACTTTGTCCAGGCCGTAAGAGGGAAATATAAACAGTTCTCAGGATGAGAATTTCTTTCAAAGTATTCATCTAACATCCATTTTCTATCCTGCTGATACTCATTCAGGTGACACGTGGGCAGGAATTTATCCCTCCTGATTTTGGGCGAGAGGCAGGGTACACCCTGGAATGGTCACCAGCTAATGGCAGGGCACATAAGCTGTCGACAAACAAGCATTTACATTCATATTCACACTTTTGAATTGTTTAGAGTCTTCAGCGAACTGAACATGTATGTTTTTGGAATGTGGGAGGAAGCTGGAGTTCCCAGAGAAAACCCACTCATGCATGGGGGATAACATTCAGATGCCACACAGGAAGGCCAGAGCCGCGATTCAAACCATAGACCTCAAAACTGTGAGGCAGATGTACTATTCATTTGTCCACTGTGCTGCTCACAGTAAAGATATATATACCTCACTGTCAATCAACATTTGAGCATGATTATCTGTAACTATTTTATAGTTTGTTTTAGAACAAGCTGTAGATTCCCCACCCCAAAACCAAACCCAAAAGATAATGACAAAGCCAACATTGTAGCATGCACTCACAGTTAAAAAAAAAAAAAAAAAAAAAAACTCAAACATTAATGGAATTGTGTGTGTGTAGTCATTGCCCACAGGGACTCTGAATCACCCACTTGAATATTTTGTGTGTTTGCAAACGTAAACTCAATTTTCTGTCCTACAGGTTACCCAGCATGGAGACGCCACTGGATGTTCTGTCAAGAGCAGCGTCATTTGTTCATGCTAATGAAGAAGAGCGTGAGTGTTTTATTTTTTTGTTATTGTCACCCATCCCACCCACGTTTGAATACCAACTTTCTTGATCTTATACCGATTTACTCAGCTTGCAAAAACCACATGACAAAACTCAGAAAACAGGTGAGCTGTGTTTGGTCATTACCTAAGCCATGAGCAACTGTGATGTCATTTTTCAGTTGACAGCATGTGGCAAAATGGCCACCCCCTGAGACATATAAAAATGGTTGGATTTTGTATATACCGATTTTTAACAACTCAGCTTGCAAAGACCACATGACAAAACTCAGAAAGTAGGTGAGCTGTGTTTGGTCATTACCTAAGCCATGAGCAACTGTGATGTCATTGTTCAGTTGACAGCAAATGGCAAAATGGCCGCCCCCTGAGGCAGAGAAAAAAAGGGTGCATTTTGCTGCTTAATTCATATTCCACAAATACATTGTTAGTCAGAATGCTGTGTTTACACCAGTGGGGTCACATAGAACATATTGTAAGGAAAACGTTTGACTTGACTTCCCCTTTAATGATTCACCTGTCACTAGATGTCACAGTTATAGATGAACAAAGATAACATTATTTATAGTTAATAAATAATTTTTGAAACAATTAAGTAAAAGTGGATGATTGTTCTTGGCACACCTGAGCTCTCATAGTGCACTCATTGGGAATTACTGCGCCATAAACATAAATTCATGACACTGAACACAATAAACATTCATTATACAAGAAGAGAAAGCACATTGCCAAAAATGGTGTGCCCGCTATTTTACTTGCGACAAAAATGTACGTAGGACTCACAGTATGTGAAAAAGTGCTTCATGTGATTAGGGCTGTGTTGTGTATCACCAAGGTGCAACGTTCCCCTCTTCTGTAATCCTCAACGCTGCTTTGTGACATAACACAATAGTTGTCTTTGTCCATTTGCTCGTGGCAGTAAAATGAGTGATAACCGCACTCAACTGCCACCAATGCTGCCATTCAACCAGTTGCTTGCCAACACTCGTAGAGTCGAGTTACATCTGGCATGTTTTCTTCACATCCGTCTTTCCTGACTGCCTTTTCCTTGCCATTGAGCAACACCAAGATTTTTGGTGTTGCTCAATTTAAAATTCCTCCGGAGATTAAGGAAGAAATGGCCAAAATCCTTCTCAACCGGGCTCTCTGCTGCTGGCTGGACCAGTGGGTTAACAGAAGTCAACCATCAGAATTCAGAGAATCAGGCTTATTTATAACAAAATCAGCTTCGATTAGCTCTGCTGAGGGGAAATGATCATTTTTGCAGCAGCAATATGGGCACACATTCATGAACAAACAGTGACTGTCAAACGTAGTCATATTGAAGACTATGGAATACTCTACATGAAGAATAATAAATAGATGATACAAAAGCAATGAGAAAAGGCAGTGGGCTTGTATGTGACAAGGATACGTACATTTAGATTAGCAATCCTATGCATGCAGTGTAGGATGTCATTAAGGTTAGTGACACTGACCACTCGTTCGCGCTTTAACTCAGCCCACCTGTCACGTCTAGACCAGTTTAATTAAGAACAACTTTGTGAGCGGGGTCGAGTGGCTTCCTGCGAGGCAGGCAGGCGGTGACGAGAAGAAAGTTCAAGGAAGAAAGCTGAGTGAAAACAGACTGCTATTCTTTGAGAACAAGGAAATAGTATTCGTTCAGGTTTTTATATCTGGAAATAAAAATGGAATTCATCAATGTAGTGACTCAATTTATTGTTTACTCTTTTACGGTACTTCTTTGAGCATTTATTTGCATACACAAAAGTTACAGTTAGGCCAGTATGGTTAATCCAGTTCAGCCTAAAAACTGTTGGGTTAAAAAAAAAAAAAACAAAAAAAAAAACATTTTGGGTCAAAAAGGGACTGACCCACTTGGGTCGTTTTGAGCCAATTTTCTGGGTCATTTTTCCAAAATAAATATTTTGTAGAAAACAAAACAGTGTTTAATATTCTATGTGCAACAGAAAGTTTGCTCAAATTGACATCGGCCTCTTAGTTACCCAAATTAATTGCATACTCATTCAAAACCACATGATTTAAAAAAAAATAAAATAAAATAAAAAAGAATAAAAAACGATCAACAAAGAAGTATGAACAGAATATTTGGCTGTGAGTGGGCGGTGACAAAATCTGGGCAATTAATTAACAACACATGATATACATTTTTGTATGCTTTTATAAAGTACAATACAATGTGGGTATAATTTATCTTATTAATTTTCAAAATCTGGGCGAGGTGAGGGGAGGCTAGAAGGGTTTAATGGCATTTCCATTTATTTCGGTGGGGAAAAATAATCTAAAATGCTCGTGTTTTAAATTACTCGTGTCGTCACAGAAATTAAACGCGTATCTCCAGGCACCACTGTATTTTTGTCCTTTTTGAAGAAAATAGCTAATTTAAAGGCTTTTGGGTATTTGAAATATTCTGTGAATAATCCACGAACCTTAACGATGAAATTCAGGCAGAGGGTAGACAATTTGGGCCTTTTTGTGTCCAAGCAACTTGGAATGTCTCAAGCAAAAATGCTCACTTGTGTAGTGGCAGCCTGGGAATGTTCAGACGCAGCTTGTCTTGCATGTCAGCAGCTGGTATCCCATCATGCATTGTCCCGCATCAACTGAAAACCAGCTTCTTGCCCCTCCCCCTGCCCCCACCCCCTGCTGTGTTTTTGTTTTGTCACGTTTAGCTGTGCGGTCCCTTTTGTCTCACGACAATACGTGCACAACAGTGCAGGAGGAAATAGGCGAGCAACTCAACCATCTTGCTCGGCGACCCAGCCAAGCAGCCGGCCGGCTCAGAGCGCCGACCAGATCGACGGGCCTCGACCAATTTGCTATCACCTGTGACGAGTGTTAGTTACTCTACTGTGGGTGTGCGCCATAGGGAGAGGCCCAAACCTGTCAGGGCCGATGCCGCACGTTACAACATTAACGCTTTGCAAACAGGAGCATTGCCATAATTTTTATTACCACACCCCTGCAGCTGCTGTGTTGTATAACAAAGTGACATGAAATAAAATGTTGGTTCGGGCTGGATTGACACCCTATGTGCAAATGTCCATTTTAGCTTTTTGGCCTCTATTTGATTTTATATAGGTGTGTGTGTGTGTGTGTGTGTGTGTGTGTGTGTGTGTGTGTGTGTGTATATATATATAT